GTTTTTGGGATGTGGGAGGAAACCGGAGGACCCGGAGAAAACCCACGCAAGCACGGTGAGAACATGCAAACTCCACACAGCAAAGCCGGAGCCAGAATTGAACCCTGCACCTCTGCACTGTGAGGCAGACGTGCTAACCAGTCGAGCACCATGTCACTCTCATCCAAGATATTCAGTTGAAAAACTAGTACAAATGACCAATCATATGCAGAAAATGACCTCTGAATAGTGTGTGCAGTCACGACAAGTTAGCTGTTCACGGCTCAAAATGCGAAATGCCTATTCATAATACTTCAGAATGAGAATGAGAATCATCTTTATTGGCCAAGTATGTAGAACACACAAGGAATTTGTCTCCAGTAGTAGAGGCTGCAAGTATTATGAATAGATGGGGCCTAGGGTGGTCCACATTTTCATGGCAAAAAAAAAAGTTTGTCGGATTCGTCGGGCCGGGTCGGAATTCTTGTCGATACTATGGTACCAGGTTCTGTGCAAAATTTCATTCCGATCTGATGATATTTTCCTGTCCCGCAAAGCGGCCAAAGTTTCCCCCATAACAACTGGTCTCAATAGGGTGAACATGTGTATTTTAACCGTGCCCTGTTTGCCATGCGTGACACTGGCTGGGCTGAATGTTGCCCGAACGATCACCTCCTGACTAACTAACCATTCCATCGCTGCTCTCAGCAGCCGGAGACAAACTCAAACGCACGCCTAACACACAACGGTCACCTACTGGCGAGCTAATATCTTTCAATTGAAGTCGAGAATCGCCGGCATTCTTACTGGACGCTGAGCTGAGGACGCCTTCACCACTGCTCGTCGGCGCGCTCGTCACCTACGGGTGGTGAACGACTTTGCGGAGAGGGGCGTCGCCCTCATCAGCGCGTTCTGCGGCGCCATTACGCGCGACGAGGAACAGCGACAGCACCTTCTGCGGGTCGTGGAGCGACACCGGGCGTTGCACCCGTGCGCGAAGTAGGCATGGGATGGCACGCACGGCGGATTTCGTTTTTTTTGCGGTCTAACAGTGTCACTAGTGTTGATGGACATTATAGACAGATGGACAGATAGACAGATGGACCAGTTAACATGGACCAACAATCTCACCAGTGTTGAAGGATAACCACGGTTGCCTTTTTTGCAATACATGCGTTCCTGTCTTCCGTCTTTGAATTATTGCAAGTGCGAACTGAGCAAAACAAAATCCTTACTGTACGGGAGAAACCGTACTACCATTCAGCCCCGTAACATTCTTTCCATAGGGGAAACTTTGGTCGCTCTGCGGGACGGGATAAAATTATCCGATCGGAATAAAATTTTGCACACATCCTTGTGTCATAGTATCGACAAGATTTCCGACCCGGCCCGACGAATCCGACAACCTTTTCCAAAATGGACCACCCTAATGGGGCCACTACCGCTTCAGACAGGGCCACACCCAAAAAGGCTTAAATGTTGGACCTTGCATAACCATTGCATAGTAAGGAACAATAACCAAGAGCGTAATCATTGCCTACTTTATCCCCAAAAAACCTCGGGTGTCAGACGAAACAAATGCTGGACTGGTCGCCAATCAGTCAGAGAGCACATACAGTATACTGTACTACTCGCGAGAGACAACCATTTACTCTCACATTTAGTGTTCCCCAAGTTAGGGGCTACTGTGCTCCTAGTAAAAAATGTTCGTCTGGAGCCTTGCAATAAAATACCTTGAACTTACAGTGGAACATAAACAGATACTATCCATTTCGAGTTAATGGCTCCCGGGCTTTAGTGAGGTACGCTTGTGCAACATGTCGACAGTTATTGGTATTAAGTATGGTGGTTTGATGTCAATGTTTTTACAGAGTAAAGACTGATGAACACATCTGCCTCGCAACGCTGATGTTGTGGCTTCAAACTGGGGTTCTTCCCTTCCTGTGTGATGTTTGTGGTATTTTCCCCCTGCCTTTATGGGTCTTCTCCAGATACTCCGGTTTCTTCCCATGTTCCAAAAATATGTTTTATAAGCTCATTGATGATTCTAAATTGTCCTCAAGGGGTGAATGGTTATGTGTGTATGTACCCTGCAATTGGCTGGTGACCAATTTAGGGTGTACCCTACCCTACTTCTGGCCTAAAGTTAGCTGGGATAAGCTCCAGTACAGCTGCGACCCCGAGGAGGATAAGCAGTACAAAGAAAGGATGGGTGGATGGTTATGAATGAATGTTAAGGCTTTTACTGCTCCTGTTTCTGTATTCTATTGAATTAAATGTGAGTCTAAGTCAAAGAGTCAAAGGAGGCAGCTTGAAATGAGAAGTAGGCTTAATTCCAGGCACATTAAAATACTCTATTGAGACCAGTTCGCTCACTTGACAGCTCTCGTCCTGAAATAGAGATTGCATCATGCCCTTCTTTATATACTGTACATTCAGATCTCCAAATGTCATGCCATGCTGTTTTCTTGCAGCTAATTCTACCGCAACGAAGCCATGAAACAAGTTGTGCCACCAATAATGCTACTGAGGGACTGACGCTCAACTTTTAAACTATCTTCATTGGTATGCCCCACCACACCGCCCCGCCGCTATTCTGAGGAGCCGTATTTGCAAATAATTGTGTCCACCTAATTGAAAAGAACAGCAAGAAGAACTCGAAGAGGAAATATATAATACAATGCAAGAAGTTAAGCAAGAAAAGGGGGCTGTTACGAGTTTTATATCATGCTGGGAGTGATTAACAATGGCAAAAACAAACTACAGAAATGTGGTTTGTACACTAAATGGGGGAAAAAATATTGAGGCCTTTATATGATAATGAGGAATAAATAGAAAAAGAGATGGCTTTTCTTCCTTGCCGACAAAAACATCACAAATGAGCTCCCCATAATCTAGAAAGTCTTAACAAGATGTTGGAATCGCGTTCATTCATCCAGATGAATGTTTTTGAGATCAGAGAAGTTCGGCCTGAGAGAGGGCTTGGCTCACAATCTCTATTTGTAGTTCATCACGCATGTGTTTAATGGGGTTGATGCTAGGGTTGTCTCATTCTTCCAAGTCAAAATTCATCTAGGCACCCTCTTATGGACACAAAGCAATGACTTCACTTCTGTTGGCAGCTGATTCCATCCGTGTGCAGTATAATAGTTAAATGCTTTACAGGTAAACTTTTTTACTTGTGCCTGTATGCAAGCTGAATGACCGTGCGGATAAAAATCTTCACTAAACACACAAAACAAAACTTTGCAGCCTCAGCAGTTTGCGGAGAGAGGCCGTGACTCCCCCATCCCTTGTCACTTTGTTATAAAATACCCATATTTAGTTACGGTAATCTGGTTACCCATGTCAAATGAGTAACTGAGGTTGAACAACCAATAGTGAAAAACTAGAACCATTTGTAAATAGATGAGGGTATGTCTTCTCTCTTACGCGTCTTTTGTTGGTGATTGGCTCATGAATGACTTCATCATGATGCAGGCATTTGAACAAAAGGATTTACGTTACCACCTTGAAGTTGAAACATCACAAATGACAGTAGAGTTTAGAGCAGGGGTCACCAACATGGTGCCCGCGGGCCCATGAAGACCACCTGAGTAGCCCGCCAGTGCCTGGACATTGTGATTTGCTAGTAGAAATTACAATTTAAAAATGCAAACACTGGCAGTATTGTGAGACATTTTTAAACACGATCAAAGTGTGACAATTTAAATCATCAAGTATTAAAAATAACACATGCTCTTATTATTGAAGGTATTTTGGACAAATGTTATTTCAGACGTGTATCAATTTCATCATGACACCTGGTTGAGAGGATCATCAAGACAGCTATGAATTTGTCTGGATTAAAAAGGGTCATTCACCCTTAAAAAAAAAAAAAAAAAAAAAAAAAAAAAGATTTGCCTTATAGTTAATCTTCTTGTTTATTTTACACATGCAATGTGGCGTAGTTGGAAGGTTTCAATATTATAAAGGGAATTTATGCGAATGAACAAGAATTGCAGGTTGTTGTTTTTTTTTAAATGAAAGTACCAGATTTTTGTAAAAATAAATTTTCATTATCTTGATGGAAAGTGTCCAACTTCCAATATTCAAAGATTCCGCGGTTCACACCCATTGCCAACACTTCATCAAAATATTTTGGATCATTGAAATTAGTTGATGTAATGCTGTTGTCTAAAATGTAAGAAAAAGTGAATACCTATCAGGACTGGAATTCACAATCCGTAGGGATCAAAACACCAAAGTACTTCAAATGCCTGGCCAGCAGAGTAGTCTCGTGGTCCAGATAGGTTATTCACGAAAAACTGTTGTTCAGCTCAGATGGTGCTGATAAATTGAAGCACGATGAAAGCATTGAAAGTGCTCTGATTGCTGTTACCGGACAGCGCGTTGCCCACAGCAATGAATACAGGACTCATTAGAATGGCCGTCATGCCACCAAGCTGTCTGCGGCATTTGAGCCAACGCACACAGTGGCCGGCCACATTTTCGTATCTGTGAGTACTTCTCAGGATTAAAATGTGAAATACCACCAAGCTCTTTCTTCTGAACGCCTTGTCGCAGTGTTTCTAAAACGACCTTCGCAGTGGAAGAGCCGTGTGGAAGCAGATAGGGTTGTCAAAGTCTTTTGTAAGTACAGAAGTTATTATTTTAATAGTGATGCTCTTTTGCCCCCGTGTCCAATACAACTCCAAGGTTTTTGTTTCTAATTCTCGTCATGTCGGGTTTTGCCTTTTAATGTAAAACTGTGACGTTAAAGGATGCCTCTTATTGTATTCATATAAAGCAAGTCAAAGTACAGTACATAAACAGCAAGGCGTATGACGAGATAAGTTCTTTACTTTTTCCTACTCCCCTTTGAACATGTACACGATGCTTAATGATGACCATTTGTTTGCTCTTCTTTGAAATCTTTTGACTTCCTCGTAAAAAAAGATTTTCTGTTATCAATGAACAACCAAAAAAGTGACCTCCTCTCTGTGTTTGTCCCCCCATTTCTGCTTTTCTCACCCACACAGATAAGTTGTTTGGAAAGAGGCTGCTGCAGGCTGGCAGGCACGTCATGTCTCATAAGTCTTGGATGAAGACGGTGCCCACGGAGAACTGTGATGTCCTCATGACATTTGCAGGTCGAACAATCAAACACAAACGTCTTTTTCCTACACATGCAAATGAGTGCATTTGTATCATATTTCATACGTTCAGTTAACCATGCCCTCCTATGCCACATAACATACTGTGTTTTGAAATAGCCTGAAACGGCTATGAATTAATTCTTGACCAGATTTCAACCATCATGTAATTCACATAACACGTCTTGCAGTCACAGTCAGCCTTTCGTGAGCAGACCACTAACTAGCGTGGATATTCTTTTGAGCAGAATGCTTCGAAATGATTGTGTGAGCAGGCTCCTCCTTTATCCATAAAAGATATTTGTAAAATCAAATGTGACCTAATGAAACCGAATGTAGGGCGTTGAGCATTTGATGATGAAAATAATAGACAATTAGAGTACAGGTGGCAAACTCAAGGCCCGGGGGCCAGATCCGGACCACCACGTCATGTTATGTGGCCAGGCGAAAGCAAATCATGTGTGTCAAATTCCATGATCTGGACTGAAATGTCAAATTTTCATGTGGAATAAATAACCTTGAGATTTTGCAATATTTTTTTTTCCCCCTGTTTACGCTCACTTGGACAATAATTGAACAAACACCAAACCATTAGTTGACTGATTTCAAAACTAGTAATCCATCAATTTGATTTGTTGTGTACAAGTAAGAATACGATGTGATGATGAAACATTTATTCGGGTTCACTGTCTTAATGGCCCTCCGAGGGAAGACGTAACTCCAAAGTGGCCCGCGACAAAAACGAGTTTGACACCCCTGAATTATAGGATGAAGGAGGTGACCAGAGGAGGACAAGAGAATCATCAAAATGCACTGCTCACGAGATTAAAGTTGATACATTGTCAAGTAATAGCACTTGAGAGGATTTATAAAACATTTTAGAAATTTGGGAATTCTGAATGAAAGTTATTGGAACGTGCTCCCCCTTCATAACGTGTCTTGGCCCGAGACAGAGAGTCACAGAAAAGTGTTTAATGCCAGCCAAATCCTAAATGCACTTAAGGAAGCAGAGCAGAGTGGTTTGTTTGTACATCACTTAAGCCCCAGCTGCTACTTCAGCACAGCGACACGGAGAGACTGATGCAGTACTCAGCAGCACGAAGATGTGTGTGTGCAAGGGGCTCGTTGAAAATGCATCTTCTCTTTCATCTCTATCACAGATAGTACAGATGACCACACGTTGCTATGGCTACTGAACCACATCCGGCTGGGAATTCCAGAGCTCATCATCCAAATCCGTCATCATAAGCAAACGCGCGTCTACGCATTCTTCGTCACCGCCACCTATGAAAAGTAAGAATGCAGAGACTTTTTTTTTTTTTTTTTTTTTTTTTAAACCTATGTTGCTTTCCTCAAGTGGGAGTTCAAAACAATATAATTCCTCAGAGCCAATCCAAAGATACATTCATGAATCAGCTTTCTAACCTCTTATCCTATTGGGTATCATGAGTATTTCCTTGCTGACTTTGGGCAAGATGTGAGAGTCTGGGCTAGCCGCCATATATCTATCTATCTATCTATCTATCTATCTATCTAGAGAGAGAGAGAGAGAGAGAGAGAGAGAGAGAGAGAGAGAGAGAGAGAGAGAGAGAGCGCGACATCTTAGTCTATGTACATCATGTAAGATGTATTTAATCATTTGAGCTTTTATTAAGGAGAGTAATTATAGGATTAGTGTTTTCCAACCAGTGAACCAGTGGAGCCAAGGCCTGTCATTTGCGTCAGACAAACTTCATGGAAAACAACAATAACAAAAAGTATGCATCCTGAAATAATGATCTCGTCTCAGTTTAGTACTGACTCAGTGTGAAATTTCACACTTGAGGCTTGTATAGTTGAATGCCGGATTTTTACGACCATACGGCGCACCTTATTAAAAGGCGGAGTGTTAGTTACGGGTGCTGTTTCTGTATTTAACACATGCACAAGACACATTGTATTATTGGACGCAGGCATGGTAAAACGTACGTTAGCTTAAAAAAATACAGTCGCATGCATGAATGCTAGCATATGTTTTTAAAAAGGCAGTGGGAGCAAAACTGAGTTCGGCTGACCTTTTTTGCAGTATTTAACAATGTACTCACGTTACTTCTTGATCCATCCTCCCGCTCAAATCCATCAAAGTCCCCATCTTCTGTATCCGAAATGAACAGCTGTGGCATGCACAATCAAACGCGCCAGGTTTTATGCCGGCTTTTGCGAAAGCTCGAACAACAGTGCAAGCAGACACGTTAGCCCGAGCATCCACAATCCATTCACAAATTGTGGCGTCATTCGCTGCCTCCCAGTCTTGGTAAAGCTGTATTTGACATCGCTCCCACGTCACTCGCAACTTCATTTTTACTCCTGCCAGAAACTTTTTTTTCGGCTTAAAAAATCATCATAGATCAGTGGTTCTTAACCTGGGTTCGATCGAACCCCAGAGGTTCGATGAATCAGTCTCAGGGATTCGTCAGAGCCTCTGCCATGGAGGATAAGACACACCTGACTCAATGTGTCAATTAGTTATGACTCGCCCGCTTGGCCATCGCTGGGTGGTTCATTTTGTGCACAATTAAAACATTTATACTTTATACTTATGTATACAGTACTAATTCTGTTGACTTTTTTCTGTTTTTAATAAATGTGGTTTTATATGTCTTGAATTTGTAAAAAAAAAATCTAATTTTTATTTTTCAGTCATTTAGGGTTCGGTGAATGTGCATATGAACTGGTTGGGTTCAGTCCCTCTAACAAGGTTAAGAACCAATGCCATAGATGGTCCTTTCTGTCCATTACCGTGGCAACCAAGCACAACAGTGAAAGCCGACCTCTCATGCACCGTTGTGCTGGTCCCCTTCTTCTCCACACTGTGGTTCACCGGGATGTCGAAAGTGAGCGGCACCTCGTCCGTGTTGGTGATGTAGTGGGGCTGGATATGTTTGTCGGCAATGTTTTTGTTGCAATTCACTGTGCAAAGTATGCTTGTCCCTCATCACTTGCCGTAGCCCAACCAGGTATGTAGGAATGTGGGGATTGGTTGACAGAACAGTCGGTAATGGAAGCCAAGTGAGACCGGCAGAGCGGCAGAATAAGGATTCAAAACTCCAAGAAAGTCTCTTTATTTATTGTAACAAAGAACATTACACTTTTTACTGCGGTAGGAGTGGAAGATGGCCAGCTTTTCCTTGTAATCCGACGGCTGCGGCTGCGCCATGTTCATCCATGCCTGAATAGATAGATGACCCCGTTTCATTAAACGAAAGCACCAAGCACCATAGATTTGTGTATTTGAATTCTCTCAAGGCTACTCGATTCCACTGGTCCTCCACGTAACTGATAGCTTGCGGTTTAAACTGTGCTTCGTAAGCGTGTCTTGTTGTAGGTGCCATTTTTGGGATGTTTTACACAATGCATGTACCGGCACCTACTGGGAGGCGTGCCTTTAGCGTCCTCTTTCATGCCCAACCTTCCCACTTTAACATCCGCATGCTGTCCTCAGCTACGTCCGCCTTTCCTCCATATAAGCAGTGTGTTGACACAACATCAGTCACTCAAGCGGACCCCTCATTGAAGTCACACCACAGCATTCACAGCTGGCTTTCTCCCATATTCCAAAAATATGCATGTTAGGTTTAGTGAAGACTTTGAATTGTCCAAAGGTGTGAACGGGATTGTGAATGTTTTTTTTCTTTATATGTGCCATGAGGTTGACTGCGATCGGGCCAGGGTACTCTCGTCTCATCATCATTCAGCTGGAATAGGCTCCAGCTGAAGCGTTTTTATTGATTGAGGTCTTTTTTTTTTTTGTCTGAGAAAGCTATTTAAACCAACCAGGAACTGGATTTAATGTTAAAGTCAGAAATATTGTCAGGTTCTTTTTTGGTTGTTGTAATTTATAACCATGATTTATCATGATTGTTATATTTAGCTACAGCTCTTGTAAGCATAGCTGTTGTGATGTTTCAGCACTCCGCAGCTCTCCTGGTGACTTGCGTAGCTGCGTGTTATTTAAAGTTTCACACCATCGGCACCGAGGTGGAACTCAGTTCTCTCAAAAGTGGTCACTCAATGAGCACAGAAATATTTTAATGTCATTGTGGACTTCAGTGCGCATTGAAAATAGAACCCAAAAGGTCTGGGTAGCATGCACTGTTCCACGCAGTCGTCTCTGCTGACTCCGAGGTGAAAATGGAATAAGAAGTGGTAAAAAGGAAGGAAGCGGGGTACAAGTATTCTCATGGTATGGCTGAGGTTAAGATGGAGATAATGGAAAAGGAAGGTAACGTAATGCAGTAAGAGGCTAGAGGGGCTACTTTCTGAAAGTGTACCGGCGGGCTTTAGATAAAATGCTCAAGGAGAATGATTCTTGTGTGACGCATGCTGCTCTCTCTCTCTCTCTCTCTCTCTCTCTCTCTCTCTCTCTCTCCCTCTCTCTCTCTCTCTCTCTCTCTCTATTCCCCCGCCCCGTCTGTCCGTCCCTCTCTCCCTGCCACACGCACGCACATTCACCAGAACATTGTGAACACGTAAACCTGCTGCCATTGAGTTTGACCTACATTCCAAGAACGTAACCCAGAAATGATTTTGTCCTTTCAAATTCACCTTGAGCGTTTACCTTTTCTTGTGTAACATTTTCATTACAATGTTTATTATACACCGTGTCGATTTGTGTGTCTTCATTGAATCCATAAATTCTTTTTCTACCTCATATCTTGTTCACGCTCAAGGTCACGGGTGAGTTTTTTCAGAATCTTAATGGGAATCTGATGCTAGACTGGTCGCCACTCAAGCACAGGGCACATACAAAACAAAATTTCAACCCAAGTGCATGTTTTTTTTTTTTCATGTTGGCGGAATTGGAGAAAAAAAAAGGAGCGTAACAGTTGTCAATCAACTTGCAGCCGTTTGTTGAATGCACCAAACAGTCCAACACACAAATAGAAAATGAGAACACTCACAATGAGCTGCAGTAGGCCACAAAATACGGCCAAGTGGAGACGAACTGGCCAAGTTCAGCTCCTGATGTCACTCACCAGACTGCACCCTTTAAATGCACATTTTTCTTGTTTATAAACACATACAGTAACAATGAATGGTGGTGTTTTTTTATGGGAATGAAACGGATTTGTTTCATTTCATTTAACTGGGAAAACATATTCTACTGTTCTGCTGATCTAGCTGACTAAATTGAGTTTAGTCAACGTACCATTATTTTTATAAAAGGTTTAGGGTTCAATGTCTTTTTTTTTCCATGTTCCCTCTCATTTCAACAAAAATATATTCAGACACTGACAGCAAATTAGTAAAAAAATGAAAGTAAGAAGCACACACTTTAGAGACCCCCAGTTAGGGTTAGTTCACCATGAATGATCCCTTTCCTGAGAACCTGGAATGCGATGGTGCTGCCCGCTAAGCTGTGACCCACACGCTTAACGCTTTTTTTTTTTTTTTAAACTGTAATCCAGCATGGTGTTGAGCATGCTTCACTGTATTGTTTCCCCAAGAGCCCAGAGGTGCATGATGGATGGATGTTGCAGGGCCACCAATGCTTTACTCCGATCGTGTGTTCAAGTGTATAAACATGAATGTGACGATGAGAGGTGAAATGACAAGCACGCAGGGAACAGAGGCCGTGTGGCTGATTTTAGCCTTTGGGAAGGACTGAGGGAGAGAAGGCAAGGATGATAGGATAAAAGGGCAGGAAGGAGATATAAAAAGGATGGAGAGCAGGGGAGGATGGGGGTTGGGGTGGTTAGGTTGAAAAGAAATTGGATGAGGAGACAGCAAGATGAGGATGAAGCACAGGAGAGCTGGAATGACTTTTAAGGCAATACATCACTGTTCGTATGGACTGAGACAGCACAAGGAGTGTGACTGTACTGCACTCATTTATTCCATCCGCAAACAAAAATAACAAGAAAATAACAATTACTATTGTTAAGGTGTAGTACAAATGCCAGTCATGTATGTAAAAATCTGTATGTAAGTATGCTAGACATCCTCTGACATATACACGTTTATACCCGAAGTTATTCAACAGCACCTTGATTAAAAACAAATCAAGAGAAGAAAAACAAATTTTCTTCTCTGGATTACGAACATTTTATCTAGATCGGGTGTCACTAACCTATTCCATGATGAGACTTGCTTTGACGAAATGAAATCAGACGAAAGCTATTTTTTTTTTCCCGGAAACATGTATTGTACCTATCAGATCTCCAGTAATACACTAAGTTGAATCCTTTTGTGGTATTTGGTAGTAATTTGTGATTCAAACAAAAAAGGCAGGATTATTTGTGATTGTGATTATTCTGTTGGCCATTGTTACCTAAACTGCTGCTCGCCTTGGTCTGGGAAAACATTTATTTTTCAATCGATTTCTTTGCTAGCAGCATTGACGTAGTGGTGAGCACGTCCACCACATGTTCTTGGGTGCATTTGTCCATAGGTGTGAATGTGAGTGTGGTAGGTTGTTTGTTTTATTGTGAGTGTGGTAGGTTGTTTGTTTTATTGTGAGCTGTGATAGGCTCACGACCAATTTAGGATGTACCCTGCTGCTCAACAAAAGTCAGCAGGGATAGGCTGCCGTTACCTGGTACCCTAAGAGAGCAATAGGAAATGAATAGATGGGTCTTTCATAGCTGAATAAATGGGGGGAAAAGTAACAACTTGACTGGTGGTTGTTTGAGTTGTGGTATCTTCCTCTTGATCTGAATCAGTCGGTTTAGGTTTGAGAAAAATGCTATATACCGTATGTGCTATAAAAGATTTAGATGAAGTAAAAAAAAAAAGCCATACAGGTATGATCCATTGCTTCTCTTTTTCATGACAGACTAAAGACATTTGCTAAAAAAAATTTAGTTTTAAGTACTCACTATGTTTTATGGCAGCTTATTGCGAGGTGCTGAAGAGATGGGCCTGAGGAAAGCAGTGAAACCCGAGTTCGGTGCAGGAACACGGAGCTTCTCTTGCGAAGAGGACTACATCTATGAGAACATTGAGAGCGAGCTGTGCTTCTTCACGTCACAGGTCAGTTGACACGTGCACAAACATTGCATGCACATGCTTGTAATCCATGCATACAGAAGATCATTAATATATAATCTGAATAATTTGGGGCCTATTACAGACCCTTGAGGTACCCCAAAAGTCAGCTTTAATAGCTTGGATTTTATATTATTGTACTGCACATATTGACATTGGTCATCCAAGTCACTTTGCATTCATAAAAAAAAAATGGGTAGAATACAAAAATCCTTGCATTTTAACCCAGACATTCCCTGAACACATGACTTTGTTCTGTCATCAGGAAAGGCAGAGCATCATTAAATACTGGCTGGATAATCTACGCGCCAAACATGGGGAGGTGCTTCATAATATCAACTTCCTGGAAGGTCAACCAATTAGTAAGATGCATGATTTCCATTGGTGTAAACAAACGTCCAGAAACAACAGAGTGGGATTGATTTATGACCGTGCCGAATCATTCATCTTAGTTCCGGAGCTGAATGCAAGAGGTGTGATCCAGCAGATGTTTCCCCTCCACGAACAGCGCGTCCTGAGTCACCTAATGAAGTCCTGGGTCCAGGCCGTTTGCGAGAAACAGCCCTTAGGTCAGTTTCAATGTAACAGACAATATTTGCTCAATATGAGGCCTGAGATTTGCGTTATTTGCATGCTCTGCGTCGTTTCCAGATGATATCTGCGACTACTTTGGTGTGAAGATTGCCATGTATTTTGCCTGGCTGGGTTTTTACACCACTTCTATGTTGTATCCTGCTGTGATCGGATTTGTACTGTGGATGCTCACCGAGTCAGATCAGGTGAGGGATGTGGACTGGATGACTGGCCTATACATGATATGTCAATGTGATTGATTGGTATTGATTGATTGATTGATTTGATCAGCTTCAGTCCAAAAAAAATCAATTAATACAAAGTTTTAGAGGGAAACAAGGCAACCAAAAGGGTGTCGGGTGAAGCCGCATCTTATCAAGCCTGCCCACTTTTTTTTTTTACAAAGTACAAGACAAACGTATTTTGACAAAGAAACTCATCAACGCGGCAACACAAAATTCTTCATTTTCCACCCAGTCAAGCCAACAAAAATGTTTTTATACAATTTCTGTTACGTTTGTTTCATATATTTAGTAAGTAATTTTAACATTCTTTTCAAAGATATAATTGAACCATATATTTGCAAAGTTACTCGACTGATTTACACCTTTAACAGAGACACATTATTAGTCCTTGTCTTGTGTTTTTTTTAGAACACCAGTTGCCCTCAAATCACAAGTCTGCTTCTCTGTTTTCTTCTTTATTATGTATTTCTCCAAACCTCAATACCACATGTGATGGATAATAGAGAGCTATAAATTATAAATAACATTTTGTTGTTCAGGACATACGTAGTTTTACAAAGAATAGCTATAGCGTCCGACATTTTTGTTTTAAATATCTATGCGTGGCTTTGCTTGGCATCAATAAATATTCCAAGAACTATGATCAACTATATGAGGTCAATAAAGGTTGTCTGTGCTTTACTTTATTGCATCAGACAAGCCGTGACATCTGCTGCGTGGTCTTTGCACTTTTCAACGTGGTGTGGGCCACTTTGTTTCTTGAACGGTGGAAGAGAAGAGGTGCTGAGCTGGCGTATAAATGGAGAACCATCGACACGCCTGCCGAATCCCTGGAGGAACCGCGTCCTCAGTTCCGGGTCTGAAATATTCAAATATGTCCATACTTTTTATCTTCTCCATTTCCCCTTCTCTTTCCCTCTATTTAATACTTTTCTTTATGTCTGGGCAGGGAGTCAAGCGCTGTAGTCCTGTCACGGGATGTGAGGAGTTCTACTATCCGCCTTGGCGGAGACGTGTGTTCAGGTGGCTGGTCAGCTTGCCCATCTGTCTTCTCTGTCTCTGTTTTGTCTTCCTGGTTATGCTCATCTGCTTTGAGCTACAGGTCAGTCATCCACCTTTACATTTGTCAGAATAAATTAGTCTCTACCATATCGGTTTAGACTTGCGGGCAATTTATGCTCATTATACTAAAAAATGTTTGCCGGTCCATCACTCATCATTTGTCAGCCGCCTGGGCAACCGGCGTCGGCAGTCCGTCATTTTTTTCAAGTCGAATCAAACTGTAATTGTCAGCCGGTCAAGTCCGTCATCTTATTTTCACCGTGCTTCCGTCAACGCTTCTGTTAATCATTGTTTGTATGTATGGCGTATTAACGGTCAATGCGTTCTGCTTTCTGATTCGCTAATGGAGTACTCATTCTCAAAAACTGTCAAAGATGGCATATCTCTTTATAACGAATCTTCTTGCCCAGAAGAAAAAAAAACTGCACCAACAACTACCTATAACTATTCTTATTCCCTGGAAAACTTAAAAATATGCTCGCATCAAGCCTTTTAGTGGAAAAAGAGGCTCCAGCAGAAACGCGCCAGATCAAAGAGGGACTGTGAAATACATGAGTCACAATTAACACAACACATGAATACTTTCCGTCAGTACTGGCATTCGGAATGTCCACTTCTGGTGTTTACAGCAATGAACCCATTCCAGATATGATGTGAAACTTCTGCTTCCTACTCCGGAAAGGTTTTTCTTTTTAATTTAAAATGGCTTACCTTAAATAGAATCCTGCACTGCATTGTGGCCAAAGGTGGAATCCTTGGCAATTACTGTGACTTTTGGTGCTCTAAATAGTTACCGTATTTTCCACATTAAAAGGCGCACTGGATTATGAGGTGCACCTTCAATGAATGGCCTATTTTGTAATTTTTTTTTCATATATTGGACACACCGCATTATAAGACACATTCTACAATACATCCACTAGATGGAGCTATGCTCAAGGAAATACCAACAGAACACTACATGACACTACACCCTGATTTATATAGCGACGATCAGATGTCAGTAAAACATATTTAATAAAGCAGCAAAACAGTTCACTTAACCAACAGACTCGTTAACGTTGAACTCTCTTGCCGCTGCTCTATTTCCGTCTTCAACTGTGAAACCGATCGCCTTAAGTTTGAACTCTGCGTTGTAAGCATATCTCTACAAGGAGCCATTTGGGGTTGACATATTACCGTAATGACCATACACAAGGCGCATCGGATTTTAAGGCGCGCTGTGAGCTTTTAAGAATATGGAAGGCTTTTCGGTGCGCCTTTTAGTGCCGAAAATACGGTAATCCTTGTGACGGATCCCACATACTAAACTAGCGAGTTATCTGGGAGACAGTCTCTTTGTTTGTTGCCGTGAGAGGCGGCTGCAGACTAACCACAACGTCTCACACTGGTTGCCACGACGACCACTTCTTTTCTTTGGAATCCGTAGTTAGAGGCGTAAGTTTTGAATCCGACAAGAACTCATTTGCCGCTGTCAATGCGATAAGGGAGTGGGTATTTTAGATGGTAGTCCAAGATCTACTGTTGATGGTCTTGGTTTCGGCAAAACACATTTCCCCATGTTTATTCCTTTTCCATTTTTTGACCGGTGCAACTTAGACTGCGGAGCGACTTATCGTCCCAAAAATACGTACTTTGCATCGATCCATTTCAATATCAAACGAAAACCATTTTAAAAATACACAGCTTTGAGAGGATCTGGAAGAACAGCCAACATTATGACAAGTCAGCGTGACTGACAGCAATGTTATGGTTAGTTGCAATAGCAGAGGCAATATCATTAAAATCTTTTTTAAATGTTAGAATTATTTTATACTGCTCTGTAAACAAAACATGCTGACTGCACACTATATCAACTAATTTTATTAAAAATTTAATGTTGTATTTTATGGGACAGTAAAATCCAACCATCCGTTTTCCTATCGCATTTGTCTTCATGTGGGTCGTAGTCTTGCAGGTCAATTGAAACCTAGGGGTGAGAGATGTACTCTACAACCTGAACTGGCCAGCCGCCAATTGCGGGCCACATAGAGACTATTCACACTCCTATTCATATTGAAAATGTGGAGTCTTCGTTAAACCTAATGTGCATGTTTTTGGAATATGGGAGGAATCCATGAATCTGAAAGCGATAAATGAAAATGAATGGTTGCTGTGTCTAAACAGGAATTTGTAATGGGGATCAAGGAAATGCCTCGGCTGGCTCGCTTCATCCCGAAGATAATGCTCGCTATCACTGTGACTGCATGTGATGAGGTGTACAGGAAAATCGCCTGTTGGCTCAATGACATGGGTAAGGGTTGATCTCATTTGTTGGCCCAAGTCCAAAATATGTTTTACGAAAAAAAAAAAAGTATTGATAGCTGTGAGAGCTGGTGATGACGATAATACAAATAAGAATCGTTTGAAGTGCACTACGACAGTAATTTATTGTGTATTGTTTCCACAGAAAACTATCGACTCCAGAGTGCCTATGAGAAAAATCTCATCATCAAAATGGTTCTCGTGAGTGCATTTCTTCAAATCTATCAATCCAATATTACCTGCGGCTGGATTTTAATGGTTTCTCATCTCATCTTCTGCCATAGTTTCAGTTTGTAAATTCATATCTCAGCCTTTTTTACATTGGATTCTACCTCAAAGACATGGAGCGGCTCAAAGAGGTAAGAACCTAATCAGTTTATTCTTCTGGATGTCGCCATTAAAATGATGTTGCTCTTGACTTTGATGAGGACGGGCAGGTCCAGGCTAGCGAGTCAAATATATTGTGCTTGTTTTGAATGAGACTCGTGCTCTGGACATGAAACAAACTGCCGTAAGCTTTCAAATGAACAAGTTCTTCCATGATGCTGGGATTTAAAAGGCTTTGTCTGCACACCAATAATTTGTCGTGGCAATGTGTGGATGACGTGTGGATGGTTCGAAAGCACAATTTTCATCACTTATATGGAGAGGTGGCTATTCGTTTTTTTGGAGGAATACTGTATGAGGAAGATATTATTGACTTAATGCCTAGATTGCCCAAATCAGCATTTTTTTTTTGTCTAATAAACAAGACATAAAGATCAACTTTTAATAAATATATGCCACAGGTGCCTTTTTTTTTTTTTTTTTTGCTTTGTTCAAGATCGAATGTTGTTACTCTGTGTTTCTGCCGTTGTCAGATGCTGGCCACTCTGCTCATCATTCGTCAGTTCCTTCAAAATGTGAAGGAGGTGCTGCAGCCTTATGTGTATGAGCGCCACAAACTGGGAGAGCTGACTTTGCGAGCCCTGTGGGACCTGTTGCTCTCCGTGCTGCTAAAATACGCCAGGCTGGCTGCTGGAAAAGCACAGGCCTTGCCCACTGACCCAGCCATGCCAGGACCTGGTCTGAGGGGCACCAGGCCCGGGGTGGGGCATACAGACAAAAGGTCACCATCTAAACATTAAGTTACCACACGCTTAAAAATTAGTCGTAGTAAGTATTAATGAAAACAAACTGATTTTATCTTTAGTGATTACAGCTTATAAATGAATGAAAAATGATATTTTAACCATCTCATAAAATTTGAATACTTAGTAGGAAACTATGAAAAAGATTTTTAATCCACAAATTAGGTAGGAATTTGCCTTCAGAAAAATATTTCCCAATAGTGTGTGTTTAATTTCTCTCTTTCTTCATTTTTTAAATTGAACTGCTTAAATAAATGAACTGTTTTATGGTGTCACGAGAGCAAGTGTAAGTGATCGAAACAGACGAAAGTTAGCCTGTCTTTCTATCAATACAGGGAAAGGAAGTGTTTGAATGGAGGGTGCGGGGTGCCCGATGAGGACGAGAGTGGCGAGAGGGATGAGGCTGACAGCGGGAGGTTCAGTGAAGGAGAAACCGAGGAGGAAAATCTGATCGATTGTGGTTTGAAACTGAGGAAAGTCAGTTTCATAGAGAAGGTACGTAGTTGTATGTCACAATTTGACGCTCTGCTAATTCATAATGAAAGGTTTAGAAATGTAATACCAAAGTATCAACAAAATGTAGTGAAATCTCTATGGAAACACTCAAATGGGTAAATGAGGGGCTCTCAAAACCCTTGAGGTATATATGCAATTTGTCATTTAAAACTGGTACAATTTTAAAGAATACAGTATAAAACTAGCCAAGTTACTCCTTTCCTTAAACCCGCTCATAGGCAGTTTTTCATAAATGATCGACCCATCTCCTTTTCACAACAGATCTCAAAAATCATTGAAAAACTATTTGATAAAAGACTGGATCATTTAAAAAAGTACAATATAATTACAGATAAGCAGTATGGTTTCAGGAAAAAAAATTAATCATCAGGCCTTGGCAATAACTGATTCCGATGAAGAAATAACACATTAGATTGATTCTTAAAAAAAAAACAAACATACTTTATTTAAGGGTTATTTTCTGATCTACCAAACGCTTTTCGACCGAATAGACCAGAATCTATTAAACAAGGTAGAAGAACTGTTTCTAATTGGGTCAAGAGTTACTAAAGTAAACGTCAACAATTTGTGAAGATGGTAATCATTCATCAGTAAGTTTAAACTTAGCTGGTGGTGTCCCCCAGGGGTCAATGTTGGGCCCCAAACTGTTCAATCTTTACATCAATGATTTATACAATGTCTCTAAACGCTTAAAACTAGTTTCCTTTGATGACGCCACTAATTTGTTTTGTTTTTATAACATTGATCAACTGTTAGAAATGATCAATGTGGAAATCAAAAATATCAAAGCATGGTTTGATTGATTGAAATTGGATCATTTCCCAGAGCACACCAGTTTAAACGACCATACTGTTGTGAATAAAGATGATTCTTCGCCATCCTCTCGTCTCGTCGTAATGCTTTCAAGTGCTTCCCTTCTTCTTTGTCGTTGCAGATGGACAGGAGGCCGGCATGTAGCCGCCATCCCATGGACAATCGTTTTATGGAGGAGGGGAGCCCAACTATGGTGGATAAAGGAATGGACTCAACCTCTGTGTTTTCAATGTGTGATGAAGACGTTGATAATGGCATCCATGACGTGAAGGAGGCAGGTGGGGGAGTGGCGTGTGCAGCTGAGGGAATCAATTACGCTGCTGCTACTGCTCCGCCAGCCTCCAGGAATGAGAGCAGTGCATCACTGCGAAATCGGAGAAGAGCCCGCAGCAGCGAGCGGCCTGAACCCGCAACAAAGAGGGAATCATGGATTGACCCTCCGGAAGTGAAGGAGAGCACCACGCTCACTCAGGCGGAGATAGAGAGCTGCATGCAGACTTACGAGGTACCACAGATGAGCATTTAAAAAGGTTTTTCTTTCAAATTACAATGATACCTCGACTTACGAGTGACCCAAGTTTTCAGAGGTACAGACCACTGCTTGGCCAATTTTTTTATTTGACTAGTGAGTCAAAACTGTAGATATAAGCACTAGATGTGGCATCAATCTTCACAAGAAGTAAACATTTTAGCAGATGGTGAACATTTCTCTAAAAAGATGCCAAATGTGCTGACATAATAGGAAGTGACATAGATGGGCAAAATGAAATTTGCATCGATATTGCTGTACTTTTAAACCTTGAAACTATTTTTAACCATCTGGTATAAACCAACAATATGGTGCTCAATTTGACCGCATCAGACCTTTCCCAGCTGACTCTGTGCAAGAGGTGGTGGACGCCTTGGATTGGTCAACAGCCAATCACAGGGCACATATTAACATACAGCCATTCACATTGACAGCGGTGTCTTGGCTAGTGAGGATAAGCAGTTCAGATTATGGGTGGATGGATGAACATAACATGCATGTTTTGGAAATGTGGGTGGAAGTTATCCAGCTTCGTAAAAACTCAACTCTATAGAGCACAACAACTACAGTTACAAAGTACAAAGTGCTGTACATAAAGTAAAAATAAGACATAAAAACAAAGTTGGTTGAAACAATAAATTAATAACATCCATCCATTTTCTGATCCGCTTATCCTCACAAGGCTTGCGGGGCGTGCTGGAGCCTATGCCAGCTGTGTTCGGGCAGTAGGTGGGGGACACCCTGATTCGAGAAGAACACCCATCCGTGCTCACACTCACACCGAGGGACAATTTATAGTGTTCCATTAACCTGCCACTCATGTTTTTGGAAAGTGGGAGAAAACCGGAGTCCCCAGAGAAAACCCACACAGGCCCGGGGAGAACATGCAAACTCCACACAGGAAGGCCGGAGCCAAACGCTGCACCTCTGCACCGTGAGGCCGACGCGCTAACCACGTGCTAACCGGGCCGCCTAATTGAGTAACATGAAAACCGTAAACACCATAAAACACTAAAACAATGCGTCTCATAGCGAGTCTTAACAAGCGATGAAAAACAATGAATGCTTCTGAAAACGCTTTCTCCTCGTAATGTCTGCTGAATATTCGTCTTCTCTTCTAACAATTTTGTGTCTCGTGCTGTGGACAATGTAAACGTGGTCCTTAAAGGTGCCACGCTTCCTTTTGATGTGGACAATCCTTTCTCAGGACACTTTCCAGGACTACCAGGAGATGTTTGTCCAGTTTGGCTACGTGGTGTTGTTCTCCTCTGCCTTCCCCCTGGCTGCCATGTGCGCGCTTATCAACAACATCATTGAGATCCGCAGCGATGCCTTCAAGCTCTGTACGGGTCTGCAGAGGCCGTTTGGTCTCCGAGTGGCGAGCATTGGCCAGTGGCAGGTCAGAAGGAAAACTCCCGAGCTTCCTGTCAAAGCAAAATCATTCGATTTTGTCTGAGTCTGGCTGTCCATTTCCCCCTCTACTGCTGCAGTCTGCAATGGAAGCAATGGGTCTGATTGCCATTATTGTCAACTGTTACCTGATCGGTCAGTGCGGTCAGCTGCAGCGCCTCTTCCCCTGGCTAAGCCCCGAGATGGCCATCATCTCCATTGTCATCCTTGAGGTAGTGCTGCTCAACTGTACTTGACCCAAATGGCTTTTTCCCTCACCACCCCCAATAAAAAACAAGTGTTTTTTTTTTTTTTGGTTTTTTTTTGCTACTAGGTCTATATGCTGGTGCATCTAAAGAAATTGAAATGTTATTATTTCAATAGTTCAATTCAAAAAGGGAATTTTACGAACATTCTATATGTTTGCATAAACCACACCCACCCAAGAATTGAGAAATGCAGCGTGACAATCTATACCAGGGGTCGGGAACCTTTTTGACTAAGAGAGCCATGAAAGCAAAATATTTGGAAATTGTTTTCATACTCACCATTAATGTGAATGGTTTCCCGTTCCTCACGATTGCGAAAGATCCAGCAAAACTATAGCGGGATTATAGTCAGCTTGCCGGGTCCATACGCGGAGTTGCTGCTGGGGGCTAGCTTGGGCCCTGCTCAGTAGCTTGCACGCTTGCTTTCTGCTCTCTCTCGTAGTGTGTTTTGATGCGAACGTAGCATGCCGCTTTACATTCGACCGTTTCATCGATGGTATTTTGTCCTTGCAAATTAGACACACCGCAGAACCTGTTCCCTCCACAAAGGCGAATCCTTGGGTCCATTCGTCCTGAAGTGTACCATACTCGTCATCTTTTTTTCTTTTCGCCATCTTATTCGTCGAAGGATTAGCTTTGAGCTAATGACTGAGCGGGCTGATTCAAAAGGGGGCGTTTACCTGTTGCCACAGCAACGGCCTACGTAGGCCAGTATCATCCAATTAAAATTGCCCCTGCCAACTGCAGGACACGACCAGTGAAAAAAGTCGATGGATGTATTAAACAAGTGAGAATATTTTGTTTTATGTGCGAGCCAGATGCCATCATCAAAAGAGCCATATATGGCTCGCGAGCCATAGGTTCCCGACCCCTGATCTATACAGATGTAATCCTGGGTGCTCCTGGTTAGTAGATCAGCTTTCACGTGTTTCATGGTTGTTTCATGGTTGTGGCCATTTTGTCTGCCTTGCACTTAATTTGAGCCAACTGTGAATATGATTTGTGCCAACATAAAATGCTTCACTTGTTTGGACCCAAGTGGTCTCCCCCTTCGTTAAACTGTTTATTTATTTAGTTATTTTTTTAACAGCAAAATCACACCTTAGAGATGACGCATCATCGCAAAGCAGAGGACTGTGGCAAGTCTTTTCATTTGTCCTCAACTACCCGTAACATATTCGTGTCGCTCTGTGAGCCCGCAGCTCTGTAACTGTCTATCATGAACGAAGGCAAACAGCCCGCAGCACTGTCTTGGCCAAGTCAGGCTTATCGCAAGGAGAACTAAACAAGCCCGAGTGTTGCACCAGAAATAGTTCAAGTGGCATATCCATGAATGTTTTTGTTCCGTATTCATTTGAATGTTACTCGTGTGCGCTCATCCTCCTGTCGACCTGTCTGCTTGTCTATCTGCAGCACTTTGCTGTCCTCTTGAAGTATGTCATCCATGTGGCCATTCCCGACATTCCGACATGGGTGAGAGAGGAGATGGCTAAACTGGATTATCAGCGCAGGGAGGCCTTTAAGGTGAATTATGAGAACGCATAAATAAGTGCGGTTTTGATATGGACAAATTGGTAGGGTGCCAACCACTTAAGGTGGAGACAGACAATTTTTTTTTTTCCACTGGGCTGTACCCACATTTTACCGTTGGGCTGAGCCTGCAACAGTCTGGATGGGGGTGGGGGGGGCAATTGATAATGGCTAGTTGGGTGCGGTCGACACCCAACTCAAGATGAGTCGCAATCAATCAAGCATGTTTGAACTTTTTCAGATTATCTTGAAGCAGATAGCGATGCAGAAAGCTGCGCAAAACAACAGCACGCTGTTTGTTGCCGATGCTTGTTGAGTAAAACCCCAAAGTCAAGATCCGCAGATCTCGTCAGCCTCCACATTTTATGTGGCCTGATAAAACTTTTCCCATGACTTCTGTTCAATAAATAGCTCCACCTTAAAAATGATCACATTCTAATGCCAGGGCACTTACTTGGCTTCCCACACACAGGTTAGAACATATTAGATAATGGACACCAAGTATAATTGCCTCATGCGTTTGTCACACATTTAGTCTGTAATGAATAAATAAATAACAATTCGAATAACCCGTGACCCTTTCACAACACCACTTATGGGCAATTTTCAGTCTTCAAACAACCTAACCTGCATACAAGACATGTTCTTCTTCCTTTGCCAGAAGGACGGCATACTGTCTGCTCACTTTCAGCAGTCATGGACAGAAATAAAACGAGCTCTAATGCGTGTGCGGTCGTAAACACACCATTGTGTTTCCCTTCCTCTGCAGAAGCACGAGCGTCAGGCTCAGCAGCACTACCAGCAGCTGCAGAGGAAGAAAAGGGAGGAGGAGGAGAGGCAGAGGCAAGTGGAGCATATGGCCCGCAGAGAAAGGGACCGGGACGACGGCAAAGGCGACTCCTCCGGAGATCACCACCACGACAAAAGTCACAGCGGCAAATCGCGCCCTGGCGGTGGCGGTAGCGGTAGCGGTGGCGGTGGAGCCGGCGGAGGCGGTTCGGACAAGCCCAAGAGGCCCAGCTCCCTGCTGGCCAACAACAACGTGATGAAGCTCAAACAGATCATACCGCTGCAGAGCAAGTTCTCCTCAGGTGGTGCCCGCTCCCCTCAGTCGCCCACTGAAGCAAAGCTGCCAGGGTTCCTCAGCTTCAAATTCCTCAAATCACCCGAGAATAAGAAGGAGTCCGCGGCGGCTTCCTCGACGGCTTCCGGGTGC